TCCAGCAGCCAGGCATTATGGAGAAAGCATGGTGGACTGCCTAGGGGAGCCCTATTAACCCATTAATGACCTCCTGTGGCCAAACTTTTGTCAATTTTTTGAGCCCCTGCCCAGCTGGGAACCCCGCCCCTCTCAGGAGAAGGTTGCACAGGAAGCCACTGCCCTCCTGGGTTGCTCTGAAGCCTGGCACTTTCTCACCACCCTCTCTAAGCGCATTCCCCACCACCTTGGCTCCTAAGGCCCCTTCCCCACTCTTGTCATCTCCAGGCTGCATCTCTCTCAGGTGCTTCGGAGCCCTCCTCCAGACTAAAATGCAGCCTTTTTCAGTTGCATCAGTGTCTTCACTCTCCTTCATTTCACCTCCACTTTCACAACTCCTCCCTCTGCTTACTTCCCACTCATATCTTAACAACTGCTAGGAGGGCTTCCACCTCCCCCTCTCATCTTATAATGTCACCCAGAAAGTTACAGTGACCTTCTTGGGCCAAACCCTTGTCCCCTTAAACTCCCTATAGCACCTGACCCTGCTAACCACACTCCTTCAAAATGTTCTGCCTCTCTGCCCTGGCCTGGGCCTCCTCCTGCCCCAGCCCCTCCCAGTTCCAAGCTTTCCTCTGATCTTTCCTCCCCGCTCACTTTGTTCTCCCTTGGTGATTCCACTGGATTCCTGTGTGAATATCTCAGCTTCCATCCTTCCTCTCTCTAACTCAAAACCATTTTATTTCAACCATTTCTAACTCTCCATACTCGCAGCTCCAAAATTTAGCACACCTTCCTCCTCCTAGGCTCTCCAGCCCTCTGGTAACTGCCTAGTAGCTGGCTTTTAGCATGTATTTCCAGTCAGTGGGCAAGAGACTAGCTGCTCAGATGGCCTCTTATGACTTCCCGCTCCTTGGCGGGGTCCAGGTAGGCCTAAGAAAGCCTCTCTAATCAGTTCTTAGGGATGAGGAGGCTCCCGTGAATGATCGCTCCTTTGCCAAGCCCACAGAGACCAGTGTGTGGCCCAGAGGGCCCACCTGGAGAGTTCCCAAGTGCTCTAGTTGCCATGCACACAGATGTTCCAGGCAGTGTCAGCTCCTTGGTGCTTACCCTTCCCAGAGGGAAGCTGCGGTGGAGGCTGCTCTTGGGATCAGATGGCCACCCAGCAAACATAGTCAGAGGGCCAAGAGATGGTTAATAGTGACATAAACTTCTGACCTAAAAGTAAGCCAAGACACCAAATTCCTGGCTCAGTCCCCCTGCCCTCAAACAGGAGTCTATGTGGCTCCTTTGTTCTGGCCACTTCACAGGGGCTGCGGAGCTGACGTTAAGAACACCTTTGGCTCCCAGAGGGCTCTGGGCCCCACATGAAGACCATGGGGATCCAGGGGGCCGGCTGACTATTTTGCAGATATACGTGGTAATTTTTGCACCCTTGAACCATAAGTTCCAGAGTGCTTTTGTTTTATTTGGGTCTGGTACTAGTTCACGTTTGAAGAGTTTCCAAATTCTTCACATCATCATCTGCCTGTTCTTTCTCCAGGGAAACTAGCTTTCCACCTGAGTCGGAGCCACACCCAGACCTCCCAAAGTCTGGCTGTGGAAGGATGTCCGTAGGTGGCCTGGCTCTGTCTGTGGAAGGGACCTTCTCATGGTTTCCTTGTCTGGGTTCCCCTGCTCCGCTGCCCATGGTGTGGACACAGTTCCTGCCCCAGATTTCCATGAGCCCAGTGGAGATAGGCTGGATTTTCAAAAGCTTGTGCTAAATATTGAGGAAAATTGCTAAGGGCATTTCACGGTATGAAAGACGCCAGCCTCTAGAACAGCTTCTGCCAGCCTGACCCTCTCCACATACAGGCACCATCCCACCACCAGCTCCTGGGGCAGGAGTAGCTACTGCCCCAGCCCAGCACAGAGAGGAGAGGTCCCTCTGCCACCCTCCCCTCATCCTCCTGCTTTCTGCAATCCTCACCAGGCAACTGGCTTCACCTCTGGCCCAATTAACTAATGACCGAGAAGTTTTGCATATTCCCCTGCATTCTCACAGAATACCTCAAGTAACAAGAGGGAGGAATCCTTACCTTGGCTTGGGCCTTATCACAGCCCCCCAGATTCCTTAGCCTGGAATTTGATGTCCCAGTGTGTACCTCCATTCTAGCTAAGCAGAGCTGCTTGCCTGTACGTGTTTTTATCTCAAGGTTTGGCTCATGCCTTTTTCTAAATCAGGAATGACTCCTCTCAGTTTGTATCAAAACTCTATCCATCCTCTGAGACCAAGCACAGATATCCCCTCTTCCAGGAAGCCTTCTAGCCCTAGCCTTATAGCATGTTGGTTAGAGCCTCATCATGTGGCACTTGAGCCTTATTTACCTCTGAAATGTAACTTCTACCCTGCAGTAAGCTCCTGTAGGTTCTCCCAGTTTTTGGTCCATATACATCAGGTTGCTGAATAAATGCGTGGGTGAGAGAAGGGGAGTCTGGATCTCAGGGGACAGCATATGCAAGGTGTTGGGGAGAATGTGGAGCAAAGAGGCTAAGATGTGTCGAGGTGGGAAGGGGAGAGTGAATGTAGAGAAGGGGTCTCACTGCAGCCTGTGATCCTAAGCCCACTCTCAGTACTTACCCTCTGCATCTCCATTCTATATAAGCCAATATGCTCTCACTCCCTTGCTCCCCATGGCCCCCAGCTCTGCTGTGACCCCTGGGACCTCTGCAGGCCCTGGGAATCCCCATCTAACATCCTATGATGCCCATAACCCTCCAGCTAGACTCAGAGTGGCTGCAGGCAGCCATGGGATTCTGAGAGACCCCAGTTCACAGCCCTGCCTTCTGCCAAGGCCAGCCCAGAGAATGTGGGGTTAATGGGGAGACTGGGCTGATCTTTGGCCTCCACTAGAGGCCCAGGCTGGCTGTGTCTGCATGTGTGCTGAGGACCTCTCTATGTGCACAGGTGCCTGCCCATCTGTGGCCTTTGAGTGTCCTCACCTGTGTGCTTATGTACATGCAAGTGTGTTCCCTCCCTAACCTGGGTGCCATTGTAAAAAGCACCTGTGTATCCTTATTTATCTCCAAAGTGTGCACAAGTCTTTTCTGTTTGAGTGGCTATGGCTGTGTATCTGAGAATGCTCACATATGTGTATCCTTGTGCTTTCAACTGTGCAGAGCGTGTATATAGCCTTGATGGTGTGTATGTGCATGTCCATGCTGCTGTGCTTGAGAACCTGTGTGAGGCTGGGTGATTGTAGGGAAGGAAGAGGCTGAATGGGAGGCAGCTTTCTGGAGCAGGCGAGCTCAGAGAAAGAGCAAGAGGAGCCTGGGTGGACAAAGCAAAGGAGGTGGCCTCACCCATCCAGCCCTGGGGACGATTGGGATTAGTGCCAGCTGGGGGGAAGAGGACACAGTGCTCCTTCATCCTCAGCACCAGTCGATGCTGGCTGGGGAGATGACAGCCTCAGCCTGATCTTCATTGCTTCTCTTGCTGAGGGCTGAGGGGGTGGAAAGAGGAGTGCTGGGCTTGCATAGAAGGAAAGTGGTGGGAAGCCATGGGGTTAGATTTGTATCCACATGCCCCCTACCCCAGGGGTACCAGCAGGCGCACCTGCACCCACAGCGTGGCAGTGCTGTCCTGCTGACTCAGGCCCACCCGCCTCCTCTTCAGGCTGGCTGCAGGAGTTGGCGCGCCGACTGGAGACCCCCTACTACCTGGTGGGCCAGAGCCCAGATGTAGGGAACAGCTCTGGCCAGAGCGACAACTGTAGCAGTGATGCCAACAGGACGGCGCTGGAGCTCCTGGGCGGCCCCTCGCTGCGCAGCGCCTACATCACCTCCCTCTACTTCGCACTCAGCAGCCTCACCAGCGTGGGCTTCGGCAATGTGTCCGCCAACACGGACACCGAAAAGATCTTCTCCATCTGCACCATGCTCATCGGTGGTGAGGCCTGCCACTCTCTGGACTCACTCCCAGACTTCTGGCCCCAGGCGGCCCCTCCCTCCCCACGTCTCCCAGGGTCCCAAGGTTCTTCCCAGAGGTTCTTCTGCTTTAGGGAGCCCAAGGAACTCGAGGCCAGGGCCGGGAGTGCCCACTTGGCTGCAGGACTCCATACCACACAGTGGCGCATGCGCCTTGCCTAGGAGCGGGTGGGAGATGCGGGATTAGGACAGAGATGTCCAGCATGGTGTCAGGCTGGGCCAGGCCAGTCCTGGAGGTGACCCCCTCTCACCACCCTCCCCAGCCCTGATGCACGCGGTGGTGTTTGGGAACGTGACGGCCATCATCCAGCGCATGTACGCCCGCCGCTTTCTGTACCACAGCCGCACCCGCGACCTGCGAGACTACATCCGCATCCACCGCATCCCCAAGCCCCTCAAGCAGCGTATGCTCGAGTACTTCCAGGCGACCTGGGCCGTGAACAACGGTATCGACACCACAGAGGTACGCGGGACTCCCGGACTGGCCCTTCCAGCCTTCGCTCCCTCAGGGGTGTGCACTTGGCCTAAAATTCTCAGAAGTGGGCTAGGGGGCAAGGAATGCAGAATTCTGGCCTTTCTGCCTCTGCTCTCTCCTGGGGAGACAGCAGCATGGAACAGAGGGCTCGAAGGCCCCTTTCCATCTTTGTTAGGTCTGGAGGAGGTGCTCATAGAGGGGGTAAAGTGATTGAGAGAGAAAAAGAGAACCCTCTCACTGATTGGAACCTGTGGGGCTGGCTGGAGGCTGCCTCCTTTCTGCCACCCCAACCCTACTCCTTCCACCTGCAGCTGCTGCAGAGCCTCCCAGATGAACTTCGTGCAGATATTGCCATGCATCTGCACAAGGAGGTCCTGCAGCTGCCCCTGTTTGAGGCAGCGAGCCGTGGCTGTCTGCGGGCCCTGTCCCTGGCCCTGCGGCCTGCCTTCTGCACACCCGGCGAGTACCTCATCCACCAAGGCGATGCTCTCCAGGCCCTCTACTTCGTCTGCTCCGGCTCCATGGAGGTGCTCAAGGGCGGCACCGTGCTTGCCATCCTAGGTTTGTGAGGATGGGAGAGAGGGTTCAGGGGCTTGTGGGAGGCAGAGGGTCCCATCTGCAGAAAACCCAGAGTGGAGACCCAGGCAAGACCACCCAGGGAGAAACAGCCAGGATGGAGTCAGGAGTAGCCATGGAGCTCTGGGTAAAGCTTAGAGCTGACCCAGTGACCACAAGGTGGCAACACAGGGAGGTGGAACCAGTCTTGGGGGTGTTGGATCTGAGGGTGGTGGCTGGAGTGAGCTGAGGACCAGCCTTTAGTCTCTAAGGGGACAGAGGAGAGCAGGAGGAAATTCAAATGCTGAGGATGGACGTACTGGAGAGAATGTTCAGATAGGGCTAGAAAAAGGAGGAATGGAAGTTGTCCTTGTGGGGCTTCCCACCACCACTGGGCTGCAGAAAGGGGAGAGGCTACTTTCCCAGGGTAGATGACAGAGCAGTCCCAGGGACAGCAGAGCTCGGACTCAGTGTGTGTTCTCCTTTCTTGGCAAGAGAAAGAGATGAAGATGAAGGATCCATTCCCTAGACAAAGGAGAGATGCAGTTTTGGATTCGGCATCTTAATTTAATAGTGCTGACCCCAGGGTCTCACAGTGGGGCCAGCTGTGTTCCTTATACCTTCATTTCAAGCAAACCTCAAAACCCAGGGGGAGGAACTATTGTTATTTTTGTTTTGTATAGGAGACTGAGGCTCCCAGAGGTTAATGAATTGGTAGGCTGGGGTTAGAGCTAGTCTTCACGACTCCAAACTTCAGTCTTCATACCTTGTGCTCCCGAGCACTCTGCTCTGGGGAGACTGTGCACTGCAGAAAGGGCTTTGTTTCAGGATGCGTGGAAGCGCAGCACATTCGAGCCCTCTGGGAAATGCAAGGCCGCAGGGCTGCAGGGTGCTTGGACTGTGGGAGGCTGTCAGAAGTGACCCCAGAGGGTGGGAACACTGTGATCTGGTTGGGTAATTGAGGACCTTGCATGCGGGACAGAGTGGGACAGAAAGGAGGTGGCCTCCCAATCACAGTGGAATCTTCAGGCAGCCAAATGCTTGTCAACTGTGGGGACAGGTGACGCCTGGAAGAGCTATGATGTGTCACTAACCTGGAGAATCAGGAAGACCAGATCCTCAGCAGCTACTGTGTGTTCATCCTTTTACCCTCAAAGAGGATGATGCTCCTACAAGAAACAAGAGAAAGAAGTATCATCAAGAGGTCTTGGAGCTGAGAGAGGCAAGATGCTGCTATGCCCTTCACTTTTCGTCATTCAAGAATTTGGCTTCTGGACCTAGATGCAGTTTATGCCAGGACTCTGAGCACACAGAGTTATGGCCACTCACATATGGCTGGCAATCCTTGAGAAATTATGGAGAACTGGAGAGATTCAGAAAGGCATAAAGACAGATTTTAACAATTGCAGACTGGTCACTCCAAAGCAAGATTGTCAAGTAGATTATTAAACAGATGTTTTCAGCTCAGAGCCGAGGAAGCGGTGTGGCTGGGAGCTGGCATGGGTCCTGCAAGAACATCTCTTCACTGATGCCAGGCACCAGGTCTCAGAATAGCCACATTCAGTATTAAGATGGAGCCTCAAGAATAGCCACCACCACCTGCCCTGGGCCTTTGCCTCTGGAATATTCCCAGTATTGGGATTTATACCACCTTTGATCCATCCTGGCCTTGCTCATAAATTCTGGATGAACTGGTCCTCTGTTGACTCGGAGGCTCTGAGTGCCCTGAGAATGCTTGGTTCCCCATGACCTGGTTTTCCACTTCGCCTTCACCTTATTCCTCACCTGCTTCCTTAGTTTAACATCCAGGTGCCTCCTCCCTGCTCCTGACAGCTAAGGCTCACCATGCATCTAGCACTGTTGATTCTGGCCCCTCCCTCTGTGTAGGACTGACAACAAAGCATGTGCAAAGTCAGTTGTCAGGGAGGAAGGAGACAAGACAAAGAGAAGTGGGCAGGGCAATGGTTCTGGGACGACGACCTTAAAGGGCTTGATGAGCTGAGGTGGAGGCTCTGGCTGAGATGCCAGCCTGAAGGGTGGTCTCTGGTCCCCGAGACCAGTGGCACAGAACTCTGTCCTTGGTCCTGTTCTATTTCTTGTTTTTATCTCATTTTCTGGTTGAAGACAAGGAATACACACTTATCCTATTTCTACATGACACATACGAGGAGAGAGAGCTCATTCATCCGATGATCACAGTGAGATCTAAACAGCTCTCAGAAGGGACCAGAAAGATGGCCTGAAACCAAGAAAATAAGATTAAACAATGATGCTTTCCACTTTTAAGTTTGAGCAAAAGTCCATGAACATTTAGACTTCTGCTGGCAGCGTGAGGCAGCCCAAGGCGGGGATAGCAGTGATCCATCTTCTTATTTAAGGATAAGGAAACACTTTCCAATATTGTCAATGGTCTGGCCATGGGTTGAGCTGGCTTGTGAGGGCAGTGAGTGCTCTGCCAAGCCCGATGGCATGCCATCCCTGTAGAGAAGAATCTGTAAGGGACTTTTGTCGGGTTGGGAGGGAAGGAAATGAACTTTGGTTGCTTATGTATGAGGCACTTTATCACCACTAATTCATTTCATTCTCTCCATGTCCGAGATCAGAGACACCGTATTTCATTGATTCTAAGACACATATTTTTTTCCTCACCATTTAACATCTCAGATCTGGCGGGATACAGACTCTAATTGATGCCGTTCTACAATCTCTGTCAGCCAGGTGGCAGCCTTAGCTAGGAAACTCTCTATTGACACCTGCTGGTAAAATCAAGAAAGTACCACAGCCTCAGTTTAATACAGGATCAGGGAGAAAAGCAATGTGGGCTTGATATTTTCAGTGTGCCACACAGGGCACTAACCTGTTAATTCCACACACTGCTCCTAGATAAGCTACACCTGAATCACCACACAGGCTGGAAAACCATTGGATTGTGGGTCTCCCATAGATATTCTGATTCTGTAGGTAAGGATGGGGCCTGGGAGTCTGATTGGTTTAACTTTCCCAGAGGATGCAGATTCCCAGGCATGCTGGGAGCCGCTAGAATTGGTGACCGCCCAACCGTCTCAGAGCTAAAAGCTGGATGTGTTTCTGCACAGCAGCTTTGACCCAAAATGTGCTTGAGTGCTTGGGTCACAGTGCTTTTCACCCCAAACCTGTCTTGAAGAGCCAGCAAGGCAGACAACAGGATCATTCAGGGCCTGGGCCCCTCTGCTTCTTTGTGTCTTGGCTTTCAGGCCCCACAGTGGGAGTCAGGCTGGAAAGGCCCTGCTCAGCCCATGAGGAAAGCTCAGCAGCCTTCACTCAACTTCCCTTTCTAGCTGAAAGGCAGGCTCGCTGACCTCTGCTTCCTCTCCCCAGGGAAGGGTGATCTGATCGGCTGTGAGCTGCCCCGGCGTGAGCAGGTGGTCAAGGCCAATGCTGATGTGAAAGGGCTGACGTATTGTGTCCTGCAGTGTCTGCAGTTAGCTGGGCTGCATGAGAGCCTAGCACTGTACCCCGAGTTTGCCCCATGCTTCAGCCGGGGCCTCCGAGGGGAGCTCAGCTACAACCTGGGTGCTGGAGGAGCCCCTGCAGAGGTGAGGATACTGGGTACATGCATGATGGGGGCTGGGGTGTCAGGGAGCCTGGTAAGGTGGGCAAAGGCCAGGGTTTGTGGAGGTACTGTGTGAGCACATGGTCTGGGTGAATCCCCCCTGCACATGGTGGAGGGGTCCACACTCTCCCTGCCCCTTCATACTCACATTCTGTCCTTTAGAGCCCAGCCATGCTTGGCTAACCTTTCCAGCTCTCCCCGGCCTATCTGAGACAGCCTGGCCCTCCCAGAGAGGTCTTAGGGGAGGGCAGCTAAATCTACTAGTACCAGAAAAAGAGCCTGCAGGCCGAAGACGAGGCATGGCAACAGTGGGGAAGGGTGGGCAGGGCCATGAACAGCCTTCCAGGTCACTGCATCTCCCCAGCTTCTTCATGATGAAACAAGTCTGTTCTGAGGGGCTTGGATTTTCCTGGCTTATGTCACCAATTCCAAACCAGTTTTTAGTATGTTCTCTTGGATAGTTGTTAGCCTGGGGGACCAAGCCACACTTGGTTAGAATTTTGAGGGGCAGCGAATGTCTCCAGGGCTTGGTGGCTTTATGGTGGCAGCAGAAAAGTAGCATTCCCCCCACCACACACACATACTGAGCCTCTTCCTCTGAAGGATGGGAGACACTGGGCATCCTTTTTGACAAAGATGGCTTCTCTCTTCTAGGGAGATGAGGCCAGGGTGGGAAAGGTGAGTGGGACACAGTAAGGGCTATCCATGTGGGTTCCCTGTCCCCTACTACCCCCAGGTGGACACCAGCTCCCTGAGCGGCGACAACACTCTCATGTCCACGCTGGAGGAGAAGGAGACAGACGGGGAGCAGGGCCCCGCAGCCTCACCAGCCCCAGCTGATGAGCCCTCCAGTCCCCTGCTGTCCCCAAGCTGTACTTCCTCTTCCTCGGCCGCCAAGCTGCTATCCCCACGTCGAACGGTGCCCCGGTCCCGGCTAGGGGGCAGAGGGCGGCCTGGCAGGGCAGGGGCTTCGCAGGCTGAGGCTGGCCCCTCTGCTCACCCTCGGAGTTTAGAGGGGCTGCGGCTGCCCCCTGTGCCATGGAATATGCCCCCGGATCTGAGCCCCAGGTGAGCAGGCCCGAGGCTACTACACTGTGGCAGAGATGGTGGTGATAGGGCTGGGGCTCCGGCCAGGCACACCCCTGCCGTAGATGCCCATCCTTCCATCCTAACCCCTCCTAGTCTCCTCCAGGAAAGCTTACCTGACTTCTCCACCTCCCTGCTGCCCCCACCTCACCATTTCCTGCAGGGCTGTACACTGCTTAGATCTCTCTTGCTGTTTCATGTCTTGAGCTTGGATCCCCAGCAAAACTGCAAGCTCCAAGGGGAAGGGACCTCATGTAATCTTTCTCTTGGGGCCCCAAGCCCCCTTGCCCAGCTCCTGCAGCCTCTGTGTGAGAACACTGGGGCATCTTGTCCCAGGAAACCCGGCAGTGGCTACCCATCTGTTGATTTATTGTCCTGGCACCTGTGTCCACAGGGTAGTAGATGGCATTGAGGATGGCTGTGGCTCTGACCAGCCCAAGTTCTCTTTCCGTGTGGGGCAGTCTGGTCCGGAATGTAGCAGCAGCCCCTCCCCTGGACCAGGTACTGGGGCCTGGGTCTGGGGGGAGGTCGGCAGAGCAGTCCCTTTGTCCTGTGAACCTCTGAGAAACCGGCAGGATATAGACTTTTCCTGGAAGCCCTCTTGCCCTCATCTTACCTGCATAGTCTGGCCAGGGAGCTTTGTGAAGACTAGCGCCTTGGTGTTGGAAGGTAGCTGGGAAGGGGGTTTGGGTCTCTGCTGTCAGCTCTCTAGCAATGCTACCTTGGTTCTTGCCCCAGCTTCCAGTCTGTAAAATGGTTGTTGTATATGTTAAATAAGATTATGTTGCTAAGACCCTTAGCACAGTGTCTGGCTCAATGGGAAGATAAAGGGCTGCGGAAGCAGAGTTGAAAATGGCCCCCAGCGATGCCAGGGAGCCCCTGGAGTAGACCAGGTAATGAGCTCCCAGGAGTGTCCATGTCCCTAGAGGACAGAACAAGAGACAGGCATAGAAAGCAGCTTCCCAAGAGGGAAAGCATGGGGCAGTGTGCCTGAGGCCCTCTGGCAGTTTGAGAATTCAGCAACTTGAGCAAGGCTGGAAGTGGCCCTTCCTGACATCAGGTCCTGCCAGACCAACGTGGTCTGTGCTATCTCGGGAACAGGCCTGGACCCTGCGCTACCTCCTCTTACTAGCCCTGGGTAGTAACCCCATCTTACTGTCCACAGAGAATGGCCTGCTCACTGCCCCTCTCGGGCCCAGCGAGGTGAGGAACACAGACACGCTGGACAAGCTTCAGCAGGCGGTGGGTGAGGGGCAAGGTAGAAGCAGGGAGGGGAGAGGGGCCCTGCTGTTGTGTAAGGTCCTGATTTTGACTTCACTTTCCTCCCTTCCCATAGGTGATGGAGTTGTCTGAGCAGGTGCTACAGATGCGGGAGGGACTGCAGTCTCTGCGCCAGGCTGTGCAGCTCATCTTGGCACCCCATGGGGAGGGCCTGTGCCCTCGGGCGTCAGGAGAGGGGCCATGCCCTGCCAGCACCCCTGGGTTACTGCAGCCTCTGTGTGTGGACACTGGGGCGTCCTCCTACTGCTTGCAGCCCTCAGCTGGCTCTGTCTTGAGTGGGACCTGGCCCCACCCTCGTCCGGGACCCCCTCCCTTCGTAGCACCCTGGCCCTGGGGGCCCCCAGCATCTCAGAGCTCCCCCTGGCCTCGAGCCACAGCTTTCTGGACCTCCGCCTCTGACTCAGAGCCACCAGGCTCAGGAGAACTCTGCCCTGAGCCCAGCATCCCTGGCTCACCACCTCCTGAGGAAGGAGCTAGGACTGGGCCCTCAGAGCCCATGAGCCAGACTGAGGCTACCAGCACTGGAGAACCCCCACCAGGGTCAGGGGGCTTGGCCTTGCCCTGGGAGCCCCATAGCCTGGAGATGGTGCTTATTGGCTGCCACGGCTCTGGCACGGTCCAGTGGACCCAGGAAGAAGGCACAGGGGTCTGACTGCCAGCCTCAGAACTCAGTGTTGCCAGACATGCAGCCCTTTGCCACTCTGCCCAACCTCGGGGAAGAGGAAAGGTGGCAGCCGCCCCCAGGGACACCAGGCTGCCCGCTGGCTCAGGGTAGCAAGCCCAAAAGCCAAAGCAGGACTGGCCCTGGGCTTTCATGGAGGGTGGGCTGGAGCCTCAGGGGCAGGCCCCAGGCTAGGAATCCTTAGGCCCCTACTTGTGGGGCCCCTCCTCAGCCTGATCCTCTGACCTTCTAGTCTCCCTCTGCAGGCTGGTGGACAGAGGCATGAGGCAAGGAGGGGTTCTGCCATCTCCCTGCATGTAAATCCTGCCTCACCTGTCCCCACATTTTTTATATTAAAAAATAATAATAATAAAAGAAACTACTTTGGAACGCAGTGCTTTTTATTTACAAAAGAAAATAAAAGTCTGAAGCTAATCAGCTGGAGACACAAAAAGTAGGGATCTGGGGAAAGAGAGGAAGGTGGTCTGCAGAGAGAACGGGAGGGGCTCTGGCTCTAAAGAAGCTGCATGGTCCCAGCCTCTAGGGGCTTCCTGAGGGCCAGCCCAGCCCCGCTACAGAAGCTCTGATCAATGGGCCATCAGTGGGTCTCCTGCTGCTCACTCTGGTTTTTCCAGGAGCTTGAGTCCCAGCTCCAGGAAGCTGGAATGGCAGAGGAAACTAAGGCCAGGGAGAGCCCATGGGTTCTGCTACCACTCCTCACTGTGGCATGATCTTGGCAGCCTCCGCCCGGATAAGGGCAATGAGGTCCTGGTTAATAAGGAAGACGAATCGCAGGCTGGCAATCTGTGGGTGGGACAGAAGAGTGGCTGAGGATAGAGATGGGACTGGGGATGAGGCCCACATACTGGCTCCCTACGCCCTGGGTCTCATTGTGGCCTCTCACCTCCCTCCCAGCTCACCTCCACCACGGAGTTGTTGCTGAGGCGCCATTTGGAGCCACAAAGCACGGGCCTTCCATCGATGTAGATGGGCCGCCGGCCCTCATTGGCAATGAAGAAATCACCATTGTTCTTCAGTTTGATGACACCTATGGGAAGAGAGAGGAAAAGGGGATAATGGGATGGGGGAAGGCCAGAAAAGAGCCCAAAGTCCTCATATACCCTCTCTGCTTCCTGGGGAAGGGCTAGAAGGTACCCTTGAAATGCAAGCTCATCAGCCCCAGCTGGTCCTTGAGAGTTCCCATGGAGACTAAGCCCCAGGGCTGGATGGGGCAGCAAAAGGCCAGGAGGAACAGCCTTTCATGCCTTCTTGTTGGTACCTTGCTTCCGGGAGATCTTCCAGGCTGGACCCTCTAGAGACAGGTCCACGTCAATCTGGTTATCCTTGGTTGCTCTGCCCAGGGTGATCTGGGGGAATGGAGTAGGTGAGGGCTGGAACCTAAGGACTAGGGGAAGAGTCTGCATAGGCCAGGGAAAGATGAGAAATCAGGCACCAGACATACAGCAGAGAGGACTGACAGACGAGGGAAACCTAGGAAGGGGAGGTGGGGTTGGGATGGGCTGGGCCTGCCTTACCTCTCGTGAGCGCATCAGGTACCGCACCATGCGACCCCGTAGCACTGCCAGCGTCTGGTTGTCAAAGTCCGGAGAGCTCATGCCTGGGGGAGGAGCAGTTCATGTGGGGAAGAGCCCACCCTTAGGGCTGCAGGGTAGAAGGGAGGGGGAGCCAGCGCAAGGTCTAATGAGGGAAAGGAGTCAGGACCAGGAAAGGAGGGTGCACCCAGCCAGGCAACCACAAAGGCTCAGGGTGGGGGTTGAAGCATGCCCCTCATGGTCCTCTGGCCTCCTCACCTGTGATGCTATCTACTAGCACCTGCCACTTATGCAGTTCCTGTTCCAGCTGCCGAATCTCTCGCTTCTGGCGCCGGTCAGCCACTGTCAGCTCTGGGGTGAAGTGGGGTGGTAAGGAGGGACACTCTAAGGTCACCAGCACCTTGTACTGGTCCTCTCTGTTCCAGCAAGAGCTTCTACCCCCTCACTGACCTCACCAAGGCACACTCACCATGTTCCAGGACCTCATCTCGCATATCCCTGGGGGCAAGAAGAGACAAGATGGCTGAGGTTCTGCTTCTAGCTCACTTGCTATCACCATCAGGTGTTCCTCTGCTTACTAGGGTCTCCTCTTGCCTCCTTCCCAGGAGTGGGAATGTATGTGGGGGGTAAGGTACCCTGGGGGCAGGGGGAGCTCAGGAGGGAGACTAGGTGCCATTAGCTACCACTGGAACTTGAGGCTGAGACTAAGCTGGGCTCTGTTCCCTGCAGCAGGAGATGTAAGGCTAGGTGGCCCAGCAGCTCTGCCCCTAGGAGACACTCAGCTCTGCACTCTGCCTATGGCCCGTCACTCACTTGAGCTTACTGTCATCAATCAGGTCCTCTGCATCGGAGAAATTCAGCACTTGGTCCCCCTTGGGTAGCGGCTGCACTGAACAAAGGATGGAGGGAGGGTCAGCACCCATGTTCCTACTCAACCTCAAGTTGCTGAGCAGACCACTTAATTAAGGGGACAAACTGTAAAGAATGAGCCCACGGCATCAGTTTTGTGCTGAAGTGAACAAAAGTTAATCCAATACAAGTAATGGAGGTAGTTCTAGAAAGGACAATCAAGATTGCCCTTTCATGTGGGCTTTTTGGTGTGCAAAGGGTTCTCACTCACACAGCTCTGAAGTAGGAAAGGCACTGCTATTAGCTCTATTTTACAGATGAGGAAACAGACACAGGAGGGAGGATCCAACTCTGTGACTCTAGTTTATGACAGAGCTCTGTCTTCCAGATTCTAAACCTAAAGAGCAAAAACTTCGCATGCTCCTGAACATTTTCTGCTGCACTCAGTGAAGGGCTGAGAGGCACATGCCAGTCTGCTTCTATGTAGAAAGGATGTGTCAAAGGTAGCTGCTCTGCCTTATGCCACTGTTTTTCAAACTGTGGGTCATAATGTGTTAATGGGTCATGAAATTAGTTTCGTTTTTCCAAAAAATGCGATAAAAATAAGATAATTAAGAGTCCATCAGCTATGTTCAGGATACATATTGTTTCATGTTTTTTTGGGGGTCAAAATGTAAAAGAGATTGGGGCCTTCAAAATCTGAGAACTTCTGCCTTAAGACCAGCTATTCCCAGGACTGCAGTGTCTGCTCAGTAGCAGCTCCCACTAGTTAGTGGTCATGAAATTGTCAGTTGAGGAGTTTGACAACACCTGAAGTGCCAAATGTTCCTTCCACCACTGCCCCCACCTCCTTAGGTCAGACTATGTGTAAAAGAGGGTTTACGGCAGTCACTCCCACTAAGCCCCTCCTCTACCACAGTTGCCTGAAATTCCACCAGTCTAATAGTCAACTGACTTGACAGCTAGGCAGTGTACACCCCCTATCCCTAGGGACTCCTTCTTAGCTCTAAATAGCAAAGGAGAAATCAAATACTCATATAAGATGACTCTTGAAGAGAAAAATTAAACTTTTAAGTTAACGAGTTTACACAAAATAATTCTCAAAATAGTGATGAAGGAGCTAGCTATAGCAGCAAAAATAAACTTTATCCAGTGTCTGTTCTCGCTGTGGGATTTCATCAATATCTGAGCATGAGGAAGCAGTAGATATGGAAGCTGCAGGAATAAGCTGAACTGTGTGCTGGGCACTAAATTCAGAGATCCTCAGGAAAAAAAGATGGAGCTCCTCCAATTAAAATTTCCTAAAATCCTCTTGCAGGAGTATCTTTTAATAACCAGAGCTGGAGGACCAAGTTAATAAGATAAAGAGCATGGCTGAAGCTTGCTTTTCAGAACAGTGTGAACAATGATGTAGAAGGCAACGGGCAATAATAATATTTAGGAAGTAAGAGCAGTACTATGTAAATATGACCCTGAATCCCAAATCTACTTGAAGTCTCTTCCAGTTTAATCAGACTGATTTCCTGATCTGTCACTAAGAGAGTGAGAGTTTTGTTGATGAGGGAGATGAAGCAGGGAGAATTCTGGCTTGGTTGGGAAAGGAGAAAGAGAATGGACTGGGTGTGAAGTCCCAGTGGGAAGTTCTGAATGGCCTGAAGGCAGCCTGACAGCATGAACTGTTGGTGGGAGAAGTGGCAATGAGAGGAAGGTGGAGATAAAGAAGGGCAGGAAAAACTTAGAGAAAGTCTCTTTGGTGGGAAATAGGGAAGGGTAAACAGTGCAGAGGCTGTTCACATTTTGCTCGTTTGCAAGTTATTCAGGAAGACTGTATTAATAAATTACTTATGTAATGATAAAATAGGTCAGAAAATCCAAAAACAAAAACAAAACAAAAACAACAGAAGTGATAGAAAACTGCCAGGATTTCTATCATTTCAGCTACTTTCCCTCCCTCTAGAAAGAAGAGGTTTTTGCTCCAAAGACAGGTGAACAAGACACTGGGGGCCACTGAGGGAGTTGTTACAGAGCATTTGAGGGCAGCTGTGCCCAGATCACATCATATTCACACACCCACACCCAGCTTCTGAAGCCAGTTACCTGTCTGGTCCTCCAGCAGGTAATACTGCTTCATGAGCTGCCAGTGGGCCTGAAGAGCCTTGGCAGTACGTGCCAGGTAAAAGGCATCGGGGTGTCTATGCAGCAGGTCTTGGAAGGTCTCCAAGGTGGGCTGGCTGGTCTGGAGGGCAAGAAGCATGTTCTAAGAGCCTGGGTTTTCTCACTCCTGCCTCTGCCTTACCACCCCATCCCCTGCCTGTCCCCACCAGGAGCTGAAGGAAGGGACAGCTATGACTGCCCAGAGAGCCAGGCTTGGCCCTTCCTGAGGATCCTGTCACAAGGGCCCTTGCAGATGTGTGTGTATCTGCACAGGCATGTTTTCAGGTGGTAGGGACTCCCCACAGCAGTTTTCCAGGTAGTCCAGCTCTCACCCTGCCCAGTTCCCTCAATCTTATCAGCCCTTGACCTTACCGATCCCACTTTGCTCAGCAGCTGTTCCTCAGCCTTGCTAAATAGGGCCTTGCTCTGGATGGCAGCAATGGCCTCTGGGTGCAGCTGCCTCATGGCCTGGCAGGCCAACCTGGGCAAGGAAGAGACACGTCAGGGCAGAGCTGAAGGGAGGTTCTCAAGAAATCTGGGGTTCCTAATTCCCCTAAAGTCTACAGGTCTTTGAGATGCAAGACAAGAGGCCAGGCCCTCAACAGGAAGAGCCCGAGGCTTAGCATGGTACCTGTGGCCTCATGGGTTTGTCAAAAGCAAGAACAGGCAACTCAGGAAACTGAAGTTCCTGTGTTCAACCCTGTGAAGAGACTCAAAGGCAGTCCTCTAGATGCTAGTCCTGAGGGAGGTCCTGTGACTCCCTCCCCAAGTGTGTGGCCAAAGCTGCCACCCATTAGCCACTCCCTAGCATCCCCTTTTTCCCAAGCTAAGCCCTGCCCAGTTTCTGGTGTATCAGGGCCATGGCCACAGCTTAAGCAGCTGTGGAGTGGAAGACAGGCGTTAAACTTCCAACCAAATTTGGAAGATATTAAATAAAGTGACTGAGAAGAAAAAGTGTATGGTGCATGTGCACACGGGTTTATTTGGAACTCAAGCTGTTGAAGCTAGAAGTAATTACGGGAAGTCAGTGAGGAAAGGTTCAGAAGTGATCTGCCCAAAACCACAATATACTCAGTGGCGGAATCAGGGCTCCTGGCATGCATTTAGGTTTTTTTCCCCCTATGCTTCCTCGGCATCCAGATCCCCTTGCTTCTGGCATCAAGCCAGGACTGGCAGGGTTGACAGCAGGAAGCAACTTCCCTCTGAAGCCCTACAGGTCTTGGTATCATCATAGAGGATGCAAGGTACCAGGAGTCCTGCCTCTGAGGCCCCCTCCTTGGGCCCTTATACAATTCTCTGTTCCAGGAGCCAAATTCTGGTATTCCCCAGTACTTCCCCCACAGCTGGAGCCAGCTTCACTCACTTGGAGATGACAGGATCGTAGAGCAGGGCGTACCAGCGCTCCTGGACTTCCCGAAGGGTGAAGCGGCAGCTGAACTTCACACCCAGGTGGACAGATGTCAGGTCGTTGGTCTGCAGTGCCCCAGGGAAATTTGCTTCAGCCTCAGAGCTGGAAAGAACCCGTCCCTTGCCACCCAGAGGACACTGAGGGGCTAGTTGGGGGGCTGGGAACTAGAGGCTGGGGGAAGGAGGGAGACACAAAAACTATAGTGGGAAGCACTACCTGCAACACAGCATTGATGAGCAGGAGGTCATCTGCAGGCTTCCAGCGGCCCAGGTCCTTGGTCACCTGAAGTGGCTGTTTGCTCTTCTTTACACGTTTGGTGAGTCCAGGGGCTGGGGCTGGGCTGGGTGGCACAGGAGTGCTGGGGGCCTTGGATACCTGGGCAGAAGACCAGAACGCAGTGAGCTCAAAGCCAGCATCAGGGCAGCTGGGGCTTTGGGCCTAGAGATTTATGCACTGAGTGGCAGCCCCATCCCACCCAACAATAAGTAGCACAGGCAGGGAGCTCAGCTTTCTAACACCCGCCCACCTAAAGCACTTCTACATAGTCCTTGACCATATAGGGTCTTCTCTTTGCTGGTGGCACCCCCAACCCCAGAGTGGAGGGTGGGTGGAGAGGATACCAGGAAAACACTCTTGCTGGTACAGTGTCTGGGGCTAGAGCAATGCCACCTGGGGGTTATTTTTACACCCGGCAATGCTGGGAACAGGCTGTCTGCTCCCAGAATAGATGCACACTCTATGCCTCCCACACAGAATGTGATACAGGATGCACTGACAGGGTGGGGGTGCAGCAAGAAAAGAGGAGTAGAGAGAGATGGGCTCCCAGGAGAGAAGCATCTGAGGTTGAGGCTGGGGCAGTCTGGTCCTCTCATAAGCCTCCTCTGCAAGACTCTTGCCAGCTGGCAAAGGTTGTAGGGAA